TTCTACTTATACTAATCAATCTGTGTTTGTGTGGTGTGTGTGTGTGTGTGTGTGTGTGTGTGTGTGTGTGTCCTACAACAAATGAATCTTTTATAAATTAAAGATATTCTTCATGGCTTTTCCTAGGAGACTCAGACATCTGAGTTCAGGCTTTCCTAGCCCTAATCTACCCTGTGCTCCCTGATTTAGTTTCTAAGTCTTATTCAAAAACTTTAATAAAGATCACTCACTTAGGTTAATCTTTCACACAGTAAAGTGCAACACTGTACTCTCATCCTGCCCAGTGTAGTGCTCTTTCTGTGGCCACCTTAATGAAAATGACTACTCTTTGCTTTGTCCTTACTGTGTGTCTACCATGTTAGGCATCATAAAAGGCCTAATACCCAGGAAATACTCCCAAACCAACTAGTACAAGAACCACAGGTTAAAAGTAATAAACATTTTATTGACAAAAGTGCTGGCTGTGTAGAATAAGAAGAGAGCTTCCTTGCTGCTATCTTTAATTATTTAATGGCTCAAAAAAACGGAAAGATTTCAACTTAAAAGTTGATTTTATTTCCTGTTAACCAGCATTTTAAAGTTTGATCATGTAATTTGAAGCTACCCTGTATAACAAACCTTTACAAATTATTATGTTTCCGAAATTAAATGTATCATATAATCAATATATCAATATATAAATAAATCTTATTACCCTGTATTCCAATTGGCTATTTTTGTATATATTTATATTGATTCTTTTAAAAAGACAAGAATTATGTGATTCTGCTTACATATAGTTGTCTGGTAACTCAAATAAGCTACATTTGAATATGTGACTAGTCAGGTAACAACCTACACAAGGACATTCTCAAGGGGCAGACAATAAAGCAAGTTGTCAGCAGTTGGCTCTTATGTGAACACTTCTGTATCACATCTAACAAAGCACAAAGGTACCAATCCCCACCCCCCACCTCCAGACTAACCTCATCTCCAAGACTTCTTGTCGGGTTTCTTCGTATTTTTTCTTCCATTCATTTGCTTCAATCTCTTTAGTGATTATCTAGATTATAATAGAGTCTGGTATTACCTGAACAATCTATCACACTTTGAATCTGAGATTAGAGACTAAAAGTAAGATACAATATGTTCCACTGACATTAGGAGTATCTATAATGTTCATAAACATTTGGAAAAGTAGTCTCAGGACACTGGAACAGAGCCACCATGGAAAGTTGTGGAATAGTTCCCAAAAACTAATGTAGTATTTACAACCTATGTAAATTTGCTTTTGTTTCATTTTGAATCTGTTTTGAGACAAAGTCTCACTAAGTATAAACTCTTGATCATCCTGTCTCAGCCTTCAAAATACTAGGATTACAGCAATGTACAATGCCCCAGCAGCAGATAGAGATTTCTAATTGCTTGAAATGCAGTAAGAGGATATAGTTTATTTGCATATTTGAAAGTAGAACAATAAAACCTGTTAAAATTGTTTTTAAAAGGAGGAGGGGGAAATGGGTAGAGTAAAAAAGTGGGGGGAGTTGTCTGGGATACATTGTATACATATCACAATGAAAGCTCTCTTCTAAAACATATACTAATAAAGACACATCTGGGTGCTGGTAGCCTGTAATCCTAGCTACTCAGAAGGCTGAGATCTGAGGACAGTGGTTCAAATCTAGCCCTAGCAGGAAAATCTGTGATACTCTTATTTCCAATTAACCAGCAATAGCTCAAAGTGGAGCTCAAATGGTAGAGTGCCATCCTTGAATGAAGAAGCTAAGGAACAGCACTCAGGCTGAGTTCAAGCCCCAGTACCAGAATAAAAGAAGAGAAATGGGGGAGAGGGAATACAAAGAGAGATTTTAAAAAGAATGGAGTCAGATGAGGGTTCAGGATGCATACCACCATGAGCTCCATCTTGTTCATATTTGGGATGTTCTTGCTAAATGGAAAGAACCTCAATTCTATTTTTACAGGACCATTCCTACCTTTCACTACACTTCCTTATCATGCTTTGTTCTTCCTTTTACAGCTTTCAGTAAGGATCTCAAGAATCAAGAAGCCATCTGTGTGCTTTAGGTGACCAAGCACATCTTTACTTTGATGCACTGTGTTCATCTCATAGCCTAACTCTCATGAAGTAGATGAAGTCATTTCCCTCATTTGTAAGATGGAATGAGTTGGGAGGGGAGCCTTTTGACTAGTATTTCCAAGTTCTGACCATAGGATCAGAAGTCATCCCCTATTGCCAGCATAATGCTATTATATATAGTGGATTCAGGGACTTGTGCTTTCTAGGCAAGTGCTCTACCATCTGAGTCAGCTCCATAGAAAGCTTTGAAAGATCTAGAGGAGAGATACTTAACTACTTTTGTCAAAGCTGTAAAAATAAAATTGTTAGGACTTCTTTAAAAGGGGGGGGGAATCTTTAAGAAACACATAAACCAAACAAGTAAAATATAGCATAGAAATATAATAGACTGGAAGTGGTAACCGATATACAACAGTGCCTTTACTAATTTTCGGTCACCTGGAAAAACATAGCAGTCATCTATATCCTAAACAGGAACTGAATTATTTAAAGAAGAGATGGTATCAGGGAACATTTTAACATTGCTACAAGCCTAGAATTTAAATCATTCTTAGCCATGAGCATGTATCCTCTTCACAATGGATCAGTTAATAAACTTTAGCAATTCAGAATAACAGATAAAGTATACAAAATTCTTAGGTGTGATTCAGAGATCAGCTTTCACTGAATTCCAGCATGTCAGGACTCCTGCACAGCACTGATTTTTATAGGGAGCCTTTTATGTGAGCTCATCTACTGCAGGGGTAATAACTTGCAGGCTGAGGCAACTTGAGCCAGCAGATGGAATCTGGAGCTTTGCAAAGAACCAGAGTGATAAGCAGACAGAACAAGTACATCTTTACCTCTTCTCTGATCAAGGTGAGCACGGCTGTCTTATCAGATTCGCTTAGGCAGATCCCATCCAGGGGACTCTCACCTCCACACTCTACGGATACTGGGGCCTTGTCTGCAGAAGACTCAAACATTCCCTGTGAGGAAAGGTAATAGTTGATAGTTTCAGCTTTTGCTTATTTAACACTTACGTATCTTTCAAAAACTTCCTTATTACAAAATTCACAACACCTCTTAAAAATGTGCTTGCAGAAGGAATAGGAGGATAGCTCTAAAATAATCTAACTATAGTATCATATAAAGAAATATGGTTCTAGTCTGGCACCAGTGAATCAAGCCAATAACCTAGCTACTCTAGCTGAGATCTGAAAAATCTCAGTTCAAAGTTAGCCCAGTAGACAAATCCAAGACTCATCTCCAAGTAACAAGCAAAAAGCTGGAAGTGGAAGTGTGGCTCAGGTAGTAAAGTACTGCCATGAGTGAAAAAGCTGAGAAGTTTTATATACATGTATGATTAGTTGGAGAATATCCAAATGCCAAAATGACTGGGGATAATCTTAATACTCTAAAATGGAAGTATACTGATAGGTTAGTTGCTAATTTATAATCAGTTCATTGTCTACTATCTTATTTGAACCAGGTCCAAATCCAAAATTGTTATAGCTTCATCTACTCTCTAAATGCTACATACACACACACACAAACACACACACAATTTTAGCATACATCTTCACAGATCTCAGCCATAGAAACTCAGTTCACAGAATAAAGACAAGAGCTACTAGCTGAAAGGGCCCATTTTCCTGCAACATTTGTGGGAGGACAGCTCAAGCTGTCCAAGAATACCCCAGAACCTCTTTTTCTATGTTGGCATAGTTCTAGTACAAGAACCAGAGGGTATTTGTGGTGGAAGCCTCTGTCACTAGCACTAATTTTCTTATGTAATCTCTCCCTTTTGGGTGGAATCTGGATTCAGTGACTTTATGAATCTTTATGGATCTGGATTCACATGACTTTAGCCATATCCTAATGATACTATTTTTTTTGTCAGTTGTGGAGCCTGAACTCTGGGCTTGGGCATTGTCCATGAGCAATTCAGTTCAAGGCTAGTGCTCTACCACTTGAGCCACAGCGCCACTTCCATCTTTTTCTACTTATGTGGTGCTGAGGAATCGAACACAGGGCCTCATCCATGCAAGGCAAGCACTCTACCACTGAGCCACCTTCCCAGCCCCTAGAGATACCATTTTTGAAAATAGGTTGCATAATGACTGTGGCTTCTATGTATTGAGAGGCTCTATGGAAAGGCCCATGTGACCAAGAATGAGTTGCGTGAGCCTGAAAGTGAATCTACCCTACGTCAAGTTTAGAGTCAACTACAGCTTTGTCAACAGCTTGATTGTGGGAGGTCCTTGGTGAGAGGACCCAGCAACACTATCCCAAGGTTCCTAACCTGTAGGAACAATGAAATAATAAATGTTTGTTGTTTTAAGCCACTAAGTTTTGAAGTAATTTATAGATAGCCAACATAGCTCTGGACATGGGAGTCAGCTTGTGCTTGGCTTCCTATCAAGAAACTTTCCTATTGTTCTACCAGAAAACTCTGAGATCTGATAAACACTTTCAGCAAAGTAGAGAATACAAAAAAAATATATGAAAATCAATAGTTTTTTACTGGGTGCCAGTGGCTTATACCTGTAATACTTGCTACTCAGGAGGCTGAGATCTGAGGATTGTGGTTTGAGGCCAGCCCGGGCAGGAAAGTCCATAAGACTCTTATCACCACTAAACTACAAAAAAAAACTGACAGTAGAGCTGTGTCTCAAGTGGTAGAGCATTGGCCTTGAGCATAAAAGCTCAGGGACGTAGGCCTACAGTTCAAGCCCCAGGACTGGCAAAAAAAGAAAAAAAAAAAAAAGAAAAGATTAAAAAAAAAAAAGCTTACCTATACCAATAACAATTACCCTGAGGAAAAGAAACCAGGAAAACAATCCCATTCACAATAGCAAAAATGAAGAAAACAACAACAAAAACTCAAAACACTAAAATAAAAACCCTAGGACTAAATCTAACCAAGGAGGGGCTGGGAAGGTGGCTCAGTGGTAGAGTGCTTGCCTTACATGCATGAGGCCCTGAGTCCGATTCCTCAGCACCACATAATCAGAAAAAGCTGGAAGTGGTGCTATGGCTAAAGTGGTAGGGTCCTAGCCTTGAGCTGAAGAGCTGAGGGACAGTGTCCAGGCCCAGAGTTCAGGCCCCATGACCGGCAAAAAAAAAAAAATCTAACCAAGGAGATGAAAGACTTCTATAAGAAATACCGAAAAAAGAAAATTAAGAAAACCCTCTTCTTGAAGATGGAAGGACATCCAATGTCCATTGATGGGCAAAATACAGACTCAAAGTAGTTCTCATCAAAATCCAATGACACTGGAACACATAATCCAATAAATAAATGGGCAAATGAATTGAACAAATACATGAAAAAATGTTCAACATACTTTGCCATAAAGGAAACACCGATCAAAGCTATACCAAAATAACTTACTAAGGATGGCTATCTCCAAGAAAACAATACCAACAAATGTCCAGGCCAGTAGCTGTTAGCTCATGTTTGTAACCCTAGCTATCCAGGAGGGTGAGATCTGAGGACTCTGTTTTTTTTGGTCAGTTGGAGGGTTTGAACTCTGGGCCTGGGCGCTGTACCTCAGCTCTTCAGCTCAGGGCAAGCGCTCTACTACTTGAGCCACAGTGTCATTTCCGGTTTTCTGGTGGCTACTTGGAGATAAGAGTCTCACGGACTTTCCTGCCTGGGCCAGCTTTGAACTGCAATCCTGAGATCTCAGCCTCATGAGTAGCTAAGATTACAAGGATGAACCACCAATGTCTGCCTAAGGATCATGCTTTGAAGCCAGTCTGGGCAGAAAAGTCCATGAGAGTCTTATTTCCAATTAACCACCAAAAAAGCTGGAAGTGGAGCTGTGGCTCAAGTGGTACAATCCTAGCCTTAAGCAAAAAAGTTCAAGGACCGTGTCTAGGCCCTGAGTTTATTTATTGACTTATTTCTGGGTCTAATATTCTATTCCATTCATCTACATGGAAAAGACCATGTACTAGTATAATGCTTTTTTTAAACTATAGTTCTATCATATAAGTAAAAGTTAGATATTGTGATACCTCCAAGCATTGCTTAAGATTGTTTTTTTGGCTATCTGGTCTTTTATATTTCCATATTAATTTTAGGATTTTAATTTTCTATTTCTATGAAGAATGATGTCATAAGGTGGTTGAGGTAGGATTTATGCTGTGACCTATTTTAGCCACTCCTCAGTTTCCCAGGACTTACTGCTTAAAAACAATGTGAAAAGTACCTAGAATCTACTAGCACAAAAATTGGCCATATCATCTCTTTAGGATTGCATCAGAAGCTAGCATATGTTTAATGAAGCTGCCTGAATCAGTCAATTATATTCTGAAAAGATCTGATTTCTTATTTCCTATTCTTTCTCCTGGTCCCTTATGATTTAAGGACTAAGACAGATATGCCTTGATGGCTATTCAGTAGTATCCTGGCTACAAACTTACTGTGAACACAAATAAGACAAGAAACTAACTCTGATGTCCTTGCAGTGGGTAGAAGCATTAGCATCAATAATCTGTGCTTTGCTGGCAATGCTCATCTCAGCCTTTGTCTTTGAGTCACTGGAGCAGCAGTACTATACGCTAGTCTAACTGAGACATGGCTGGAAGAACCAAGAAAACTAAACTCAAGTTTATGACTTCTAAAAAAATAAATAAATAAAAGCAGACTCCTAAGTGAAAAATGCTGCCACTAAAAAATGCAAAGATGAGGGCTGGGAAGGCAGTTCAGTGATAGAGTGCTTGCCTTGCATGCATGAGGCCCTGCGTTCGATTCCTCAGCACCACATAAGCAGAAAAAGCCAGAAGTGAGGCTGTGGCTCACATGGTAGAGTGCTAGCCTTGAGCTGAAGAGCTGAGGGACAGCGCCCAGGCCTAGAGTTCAGGTCCCATGACCAGAAAAAAAAAAAAAGAAAGAAATGATGAGATTCAATGCTCACCATTTAAAGACGTAGTTATTAACATAGATTTCTTTTCTGTCTGTCTCACTGTATCAAGGTTTGAATTCAGGGGCCTCATGATCACTTGGTTTGTTTGCAGGGCCAGTACTCTACTAATTTCACTTAGCCAGGTTTTTTTCCTGGTTATTTTGGAGATGCAGTCTCAAGGATTTTCTGCTCAAGCTGATTTCTCAGGCCTCCTGAGTGGCTAAGATTACAGATGTACCACCCATGCCAAACTCAGATTTTCCTTTAACCTTATTTTATTGTAAAGATGCTGTACAGAGGAGTTATAGTTACATGAGTAAGGTAATGAGTACCTTTCTGGTCAAGCATTGTTACCCCCTCCCATGTTGTTTTCCCACTATCCCTTCCCTCCCCCACCTTCCTCACTCCTCCCTACCCCCAAGCTGTAAAGTTCATTTCCAATATACGGTCTTGTGGGTATCATTATTGCAATGGGTCATCCTGTGTCCTTGTTTCAGCATTTTGTCAAACTCTTTCTTCAACATTTTCAAGATTAAAATTTCTTGTTTTCAGTGCTAGGCAAGCTATACCTCCTGCACTTGGATGGAAATTTCTTAACACAGTGTCTATTCAAAGTTTTAAGGAAGTACAAACTGATTTATGGCAGGAAGTTCATATGAGATTGCTTCTAAGAAGTCACAATATATAATATCTGGCTCTACTGATGCGTATACTCTAGTATTCCTTTCTATTCTTTCTAAAAACCATTACTTTACTATAGTCTTAAGTCTTTCAATTACCCTTTACTCTTTTCCTCCCAGCTATCCTGATGAAGCAGACAGGTACTGTTGCTCACTTTACAGATGCATAAATCATAAATCAGGATATATAAAAGAGCTGATTTCAAGTACTAGGCAAACCACCTGATTTTGTAACCACATAGACAATGTTTTGTCTACTCAGCATAGCTTTTCTAATCATTCCTTCATTGTTTTTACATACTGAAGATACCAGGAAGTGTTACCTTTGGCAAACTTTAAAAGGAACTAGCTTATGCCAAAAGGTAAGAGACCAAGCCTAGAAACAGTAAAACTCATTTCAAAGTTGCCATCATCTTTCAAAAGACTGGTACTAGCCCTGTGCTCAAGAAAAGGTTATTTTACCCTAGGTTCTTCACCCCAGTGACAGTAAAAACAAAACAAAACACCACATGACTAATGGCTATTGTATAAAACATTCTGCATAAATTGTAAATTCCTTAGGTGAAGAAACTAAGTAATATTACATATGTGTATGTATAGCCATGTGTAAAACTAGTATTTAAGACAATGGGTGAAAGATATACAAGATTTTTTTTTTATGAGCCGAACCTAGGACTTGAATTCAGGTCTGGACACTGTTCTTGAGCCTTAATGCCCAAGGCTAGCACTTTACTTTTGGATTTTTGATAGTTAATTGGAGAAGAGTATCATGGATTTTTTTTTCTGCGCAGACTAGCTTTGAACACGATACTTAGATCTTAGCCTCCTGAGTAGCTAGTATTACAGGTAAGAATCACCAGTATGTAGCTTATAGATTTTATGTATTACTTTTACAAGTCTAAGCTTAGTAGAAAATAAAGATTTTGGTTTTAACTTATCTCAGATTCAGCCTTTTTCAACCTGCCATGTCATCAGACACCTGGTACATTATATAATATATATACATATATATACACACATACACACATATGCAAATAAAACCATTACTGAAAGAAATCTGAGCTCCACTCCATGCCTCCAAGTTTAGGAACTTACAAGCACAGTAGAGCCATCTTTTTCCATCTTCTGGCAAGTCTCTTTCTCTATGCCTAAAATACAGAAAGTTATTTTTTTAAGTTTTCTCAAGAAATCGATTCCTTTCCTTCCTAATGAAAGGCTCAGGAACTCCATGCAGGCCAAAAATTACTATGAACACATCAAGAGCATTTCAAGATGTTAAAGGAGCACTGGCATTCTAGTGAGCCCTATTTGTTCCATGTTGAAAGACTTATACTTCAGAAGAATGCATGCAGTCAATCTTCTGGCAAAAAGAAGCAGTAGGCTGCCCCCTTGTGTCCACTGAAAGTTTAGCACATGAGTTGTAATTATCATGGAATTGTTTCAGAAAAAGGAAATTTTAATTCACGGGACACTATTTTGTTTCCAAGTCTGAATGAATTTAAATTCTAACCTGGAAGGACACCCTCAATATAATTACTGAGGCAAAAAAAATGACAAGCTTTAAATTTCAAGCTTAAAAAAGTGTGTTTATTATCCTATCAATACTCTTCTAACTGGTTTTCGTTCTTTTTTTTCTTTTTTATCGGTCATGGGGCCTGAACTCTGAGCGTGGGTGCTGTCCCTGAGCTCTTCAGCTCAAGGCAAGCACTCTACCACTTGAGCCACAGCCTCACTTCTGGCTTTTTCTGCTTATGTGGTGCTGAGGAATTGAACCCAGGGCCTCATGCATGCAAGGCAAGCACTCTACCACTGAGCTACCTTCCTAGTCCCTGGTTTTATCAGTTCCATTTTTTTTTTACTTTACCACCATAAGTGACATTAAATAAGAAAAAAAGAAAATAACAGGCTATGTTCTCATTGAATAAAATATCAATATATAAAAAAAACTATACCAATGCTGGGTGCTGGTAACTCACACTTGTAATCCTAGCTACTCAGGAGGCTGAGATCTGAGGATCAAGGTTCAAAGCCAGCCTGGGCAGGAAACTCCCTGAGACTCTTTTTTTTTTGGTCCAGTCGTGGAGTCTGAACTCTGGGCCTGGGCGCTGTCCCTTAGCTCTTCAGCTCAAGGCTAGCGCTCTACCACTTAAGCCACAGCTCCACTTCTGGCTTTTTTTCTTTTTGCTTTATGTGGGGCTGAGGAATCAAACCCAGGGCCTCATGCATGCAAGGCAAGCGCTCTACCACTGAGCTACCTTCCCAGCCCCTCCCTGAGACTCTTATCTCCAAATAACTACCAGAAAACTGGAAGTGGTGCTGTGGTAGAGCACCTGCCTTCAGCTGAAGAGCAGAGGGACAATGTACCACAACCGACAGACCAAAACAAAAACAACAACAACAAAAAAAAGATGACACCAAAATTTAAAGCCACAATCCTTCACATAGGTATTGTTTTAGTCAATGATTGTTTAAAACACAAATATGACCATTATTTCAATGCTCGCATCTCTCAGAGCATCCCTAAATTCCTCACTACATTCTCCATTCCTACTTGTCCTATACATGAAGAAAGCCAGTGAGCATTTTACCAATGTGGCATTCCCAGGCTGTGTGCATCCTCATTTCCTGGAGAACTATGTCCCTATCCATCAGGATCCACTTCTCCCTGGAATCTCTCCAGGAAACAGTCATACAGTAGAGCCAATGGCAACCCTCTACCCATCACCTACAGCCTTTGCCTGCTCCTTGGACAGATGTAATCAGTCAGTCAAACATCTTTGTTTAAATCTGTTACCACTGTTCCAAAGACAACTAGCCAATTTACCAACATTGAGGATAGCACTGTAGCTATTAGAGCTGTTTCTAATAACTCCTATGCATGAAATTTCTTAAAAAATTTGCCATATTTTTTGCCATATACTTGTACCAGAAGAAATACAAAAGCAGGCCTCTCATAGTCACCCTGACTTTGAGAATTTCTAAGTCCCCTTTCTACAGGGGGAATAGAAGAAATTGTAGTGAGAGCAGAGAGTACAGTGGGATCCAAGGAACATTCATGACACACCTGAAAAAAATAGCAGAATTTTTGTAAGAAATGGCAAAGAAAAAAAAATAGCAGAATTTTTGTAAGAAATGGCAAAGGAAGATGTTTCAGGTATGTGGAAAAACAAAAGCAGCACAAAGTACTAAAGATTAACCTTGAGAAAGTAGGTATTTAGGACAGTAGTGGGCAAGGCTTTAGGAAAAAAAATGTAGGCAGTGTCTGATACAGTTATTTTGTTATGAGTGGTTCTATAGTTAGGATCTGGAATGTTTCTCCCAGTCCTATGTGTTAAAAGGTTGGTCACAAGGGTGGCCCACTGGGAAGTGATGGGACTCTTAAGAGGGAACCAGGAGAGGTCTTTGGGTCACTAGGTACATGTCCTTGAAGATTTTGGGACTCCAGGCCCCTTTCCCTTTCTTTTACTTCCTGGCCATGAAGTAAGCAGTCCTGCTCAACCATAGGATCTTTCCTCACCAGAGGCTTAAAAGCAAGAAGTCCACTTGATCATGTTCATTCTAGAACAATGAACCAAATCAGCCTTATTGCTCACAAGTAGGTTGTCTCAGGTATTAATTGTAGCAACAGAAAGCTCATTAACAGATAGGAAACTGACACCTGGGGGATAGGGAGGTCAAGGAAATAACTTCCCATGTTTCCCTTGTTGGATGGCAGATTATGACTTTAAAAATTCTAAGTATAAAAGCCAGGAGCGCTATATATAATAAGGCTAGATTTCATTAGAATGTTAAGAATTTTATGTACACCAATTAAGTCAACCTACTATTTGGTGACAGGTAAATTTACAGTAGCTTAATATGATGAAAATAATCACTTTGCCAGGCGCTGGTGGCTCATGCCTGTAATCCTAGCTACTCAAGAGGCTGAGATCTGAGGATCGAGGTTCAAAGGCAGCCTGGGCAGGAAAGTCTGAGAGATTTCCAATAAACCACCAGAAAACCAGAAGTGGCGTTGTGGCTCAAGTGGTAAAGTGCTTGCCTTGAGCTGAAGAGCTGAGGGACAGCGCCCAGGCCCAGAGTTCAAGCCCCATGACCAACAAAAAAAGAAAAGAAAAGAATCACTTCACACTTAAGCATTGGTGTTAAAGGCCATGGAAGCATACTGCTTAGCTTGTGGTAGTAGTAGTAATGTTCAGAACATACTACCCCAAATACGACACCTCAGCATTTGAGGAAGCAGTAGAAGCAGGAAGGTCTCTCTGTCCATCTCCCTTGATGCATGTTTCCCCTGGAAACAGGTTATTAGATGCTAATTCAAAAAAAAAAGCCCTTATATTAGCTTGTACGTTTTTCCCATTAGTCTTGTTTTCATGATAGAGTTCTCAGAAATGAACTTTACAATGGGAATAAAAAGATACTCATTTCCTCTTTAATGCTAGCCAAGCAACATTGGTCAAGTTTCTTAACTTCTGTGCCATACTTTATCTCTCTGAAGAATTGTGAAAAGCATAACCAGTGAGGATCACATGAAGCACTCAGAGCAATGTTCATATGTAGTGCTATAGTGGTAGTTGTTAACAAGTTCTGTGAGTTAAATGAGCTTAACTGCAAAAAAGCCAAATGCACAGCATATTTATAAGACACTATACTTGATATGGCTATTTTAGTGCAAAATTACAGGGAAATTCAATCAGTGTCTCCTGAACATCTTCCCACACTTAACTATGTCTCTAGTCCTTGGATAATACTTTGCTGTGTATCTTCTGTAGACATACTTTGTCTACAAAAGCTTTGCTACTGCAAAGCATAGATCAGCATCCTAATCTATCCCTCAAGTGACCCAATTCTCTAATCTCTCTAGGGTACCTCCTGCTTTGAGCTTTCAGGCATTTCTAGGCTTATGTATATTAGAAAGACGAAGATGTTTCCATACCTGCTTCTGAGGATGAAAACGTATGATTTATGGTAGACACAGGAACATTGGAACATTCAAAGTACTCCAGGTCTTCCTCTGGCTCACCTTTCACCTCGGCCCCAGATGATTTCTGACCACATGATGTGGATGCCAGTTTCTCCTCATCAGTCGCATGACCATCTCTGTTAGAAATGTCTGGAATCTGGGAGATCACGGCTCCTTCATCCTGGCAAATTTAAGAGCAGACACTACCAGTTAGGAGGCAAATAATGGAAGATGTCAGCAATGGAGCAAGCAGTCACAATTCCATACAGATCCAGAATTAATGACAGATACAGGTCTAAAGTGGGCAGAAAGCTGGTGTCCCAATTATGAACTGAGGTGCTTCCTAGAACCTCGCTTCTGTAATTTGGGTCTGTGGTTTGAAAACACAAGCTTTTCTTGCTTTTTCCTCCTAGTACTAGAGTTTGATTTCAGTGGCCTTGCATCCTTTCAGCTTCCTTGCTCATAGCTGGCACTCTAATCACTTGAGCTGTGCCTCTAGCCTGGACTGGCTTCAAAACTTATCTTTAGGTTTCAACTTCCTGAATAGCTAGGATACAGGCATGAGCCACTGGTGCCTAACCTTTTAATTAATTTTTGGGGTCAGTACTAGGGCTTGAACTCAGGGCCTGGGTGCTATACTTTAGCTTTTTATATTCACAGGTGGTGCTCTACCCATTCAGCCACAGCTTCACTTCACTTTCATGATTAATTGGAGATAACAGTCTCACAGAGTTGCTTGGTCACGCTGGCTTTGCACTCTGATCCTCACATCTTACCTTCAACAATGCTAGTGTTATAGTTGTATACCATAAGTATTTTCTAGTCCAAATTTAAATTTATAAGCTTAATTAAGCAACTGAAAACGATAGTTTTCAAGTTTTCTTGCACATATACCTCCTAATTATTTTTGAAAGTCCATGTAATTTTCAAGTTACTTCTAAATTTTTTTGGAATAAGAACCTTATTAAATTATAATAATTAAACATCTTTAAGAGAATAAATTATCTTTAAATCTCTAAGGTGTAATACTTTGAATATTCTAAATATACTTGCTTAATGAAACTTAAGTTACTCTAGTAATTTGATAGCTGGTGACTTATTTTTTTAAGTACATCAACCAGCTGGGTACCAGTAGCTCATGCCTGTAATCCTAGCTCCTCAGAAGAAGCTAGGATCTGAGGATCACAGTTAAAAGCCAGCCCATGCAGGGAAGTTCAAAAGACTCTTATTTCCACTTAACCACCAAAAAGCCAAAGTGGAGAGCTTCTAGCTACCTTGAGTAAAAAAAAACTCAGACAGTGTCCAGGTCCTAAGTTCAAGCCCCAGGACAGAGGAGCACATATGTGCATGCACAATTTATTTTTCCCTCTCAAGTATACAAACATGTCTTTTTTGGTGGGGAGGACAGCACTGAGGTTTGAATTCAGGGCCTCATGTTTGCCAGACAATGTTCTGCTAAGTCATGCCTTCAGCTGTTTTTTTGCTGGCTACTTTATGAGATATAGTCTTGTTTCCTGCCAGGATTCTACTTGGACCAAGATCTGTCTATTTTAGATTTTGCATAGTTGCTGTCCAAGGCATACTACATGTCCAGCTTCCCTTGGTGGAGATAAGAGTCTCTCAGACCTTTCTTCTTGGGCTTACCTGAAACCATGGGCCTCCCAATCTCAACCTCCCACATAGTTTGGGATGACTGGTGTGGGCCACAGCACCAAGCTATAGGATTAAGAAGGGGTCTCTGGAACTTCTCTATCTTGGCTGGCCTTGAACCAAGATCAGATTACAGATGTAAGTTATTGATGCCCAGCTAAACAGCTGCTCAATAGTCAGAAATAGACATTATTCTATTTCTGAATTTGTAATTCTACTTCACTTCTACTTCATTTGGAACTCTACATCACTTCCTGCTTGTATCATTAAAAGTCTGTTCAGGTCTCTCTATCCTAGATTTCTCTCTAAAAACATTTTTAGACATTTTTTTTCCTTGCTCCTAAGTATAAATTGTTAATCTTTTTCTTCTGGAGAATGACAAACACATCTACTAATATACAACTTATCTTGAAAATAGTGCAAGTTAGCCAGGTGCCAGTGGCTCACACCTATAATTCTAGCTATTCGGGAGGCTGAGATCTGATGATTTTGGTTCAAGGCTAGCCAAAGCAGGAAAGACTTTTTTTTAAGGTTTTTTTCTGTGTGTGTGTGTGTGTGTGTGTGTGTGTTTTTTTTGGTGAGTTGTGGGGCTTGAACTCTGGGCTTGGGCGCTGTCCCTGTGCTCTTCAGCTCAAGGCGAGCGCTCTACCACTTGAGCCACAGTGCCACTACCAGGAAAGACTCTTATCTCCAATAAAACCACTGGAAAACTGGAAGTGGTGGTGTGGCTCAAGTGGTAGAGTGCTCGCCTTGAGCTTAAGAGCTGAGGGACAGCGCCCAAGCCCAGAGTTCAAGCCCCACGACCGACAAAAAACGAGGAAGGGAGGGAGAGAGGAAGGGAGGGAGGGAAGGAGGGAAGAAGGGAAGGAGGGAGGAAGAGAGGAAGGGAGGGAGGGAGGGAGGGAGGAAGGAAGGAAGGAAGGAAGGAAGGAAGGAAGGAAGGAAGGAAGGAAGGAAGGAAGGAAGTTTTTATAAGAATTTTATAAGAATTATCAAACCCCAGAACTATTACACCAAGTTTTAAAACTTCTGCAGTTAAGGTAGGAATCTTTGTTTTTTAGCAAGTTAAAAGTAAGTTTCTCAAAGTTCCTGTTACTTGATTTGCTTTCATACATTTGTAACACTCAAAAAATAACTCAACTACTCAGGAGATCGGAGAATTGCAGTTCAAAACCAGCCCAGACAGGAAAGTCCATGAGACTCTTATTTCCAACAAACCACTCAGAAAACCAAGTGGTAGAGTGCTAACCTTGAGTTGAAGAGCTGAGGGACAGCGCCCAGGCCCAGAGTTCAAATACCTCCCTGGCTTAAAAAAAAAAACTTAAACTATGTATAAATTTCTGTACAAGTTGTACAGAATGATGTTAAATTGTGTCCCTTAACTTATGAATATATTCTTGTAATTATATTGAAATACATTTTTAAAGTGTCTCATTGCAATCAGGTAAACCTGAGGTTTGTGTTTTTTTGGGGGGTGAGGTTGTTGGTTTGGTTTTTTTTTGTTTCCTCACACTTTATATAGTCATGGGCTACAAATTTACTGCTAGATATACTTATTACTGGAATTCTAAAAAGCATCAATTTTATTAGTAGCTTCCAGTTTTGTAATTATAATACAAACCCTTATTTATAGAAAAAAAGGGATTTAACAGAAGAAAAGTGTTCTAATAGAAATGACATCCAATTCTTTTCCAAGTTGTATGCCAAAACATCCTGTCATCAAAACTTATTTTTAATGATCTCTCAGGTGGCAACTCAGGTGCTGCTAGAGCAATAAATTGGAAAATTACCTAAGTTAAAAAATGATTTTACGGCCAGGCACTGGTGGCTCATGTCTGTACTCCTAGCTACTCAGGAGGCT